GAGACCACTAGAGCCATCGGGCGGTCTGTGGCTAAACCTGTCCAATATTAAAGAGAAGAACAGGGTCTTTTTGCTGGACACCCCGCTGCGCCTTCTGGCCTGTTTGGTGACACACTTAATACTGTAATTGACAGGTTCCAGGAGGCTAAGAAGCAGGCAGCGTCGTTCCACCACTTCCTCCCTCGCCGCTCTCATGCTCTCGGGGCTGCTGGGCAGGAGCAGCCCCAGCCACCCACTTCTGAGTGCAGGCCCCTCTGGGGAAGAGTGGTGTACACCTCATCATACGGTGGCCGTCTCTCCTCAGTGCCCTCAGGAGATCAGTCTGTCAACCCTGCCACCAGGGCACAGGGGCTGTGCTCCAGCGAGCACAGCTCACAGTGTCCACCTGGAAACGTAGCGGCTCTGTGACGCTTGCATTTTCTTAGGCAGTAGTTCTCAAACTGGGGTGCGCATACCCATGGGGGTATGTGAGGTGACGGAGGGGGGTACACGAACAAAATTCTGAGTTTTGGCATTCATTTAATTCTACCCCAACTTAAAGTAACATTAAAACCGAACATGTATTTCTGACAAGCAAAATGCCGCTTCTAATGTAAAAACAGGAAAATGGGAGTGCCGTAAATGGTCAAATACATGATATCCAATCAGCTTATCCCATCTTTTGTGGTCAAAACTGACTGTATCCACACAAGCAGCGTGCATGTGATAGGATGCCTGCTGAATATGCTGCTTTAGCAAATCGCGCTGCTGTTCAATGTATCTTTAAAGTAGATCTTCACTTAATAACATGAAGAGCAGATATTGACACGGACTGAGATCGATTTAAACTCTCTTCGATACAGACACAGTCTGTGCATGTTATTGTTTTCATGTTTAAGATACGGGCAAGAATGCAAATTTCCCTGAATATCCAAACGATGGCAAATATGCCATTAATTTTTACAACAGTTCAACAAAAAAAGGCAATATTAAGTGAACATTTTAAATGTAGCCTACATTTTAAACAGAAAATTTTGTCATGTTTGTTCTATTTTGCAACGAAATAATAGTTCCAATGAAATCCGTATAATCTGGTGCGTCTCCAAGCAACATACAGCAGTGTTTCATTAGTGAACGAATCTGCAGCTTTGAACGATTTGGAGAGTCAGTGATTAATTAAGCTCAGGGCGTTTTTTGGTATTTTCGCCTAAATTTGACATACTCAATTTCAAATGTTTACCCTACACACATACAATGGAGGAAATGAAAAAAAAATGGTTTCATTGTAAAGAAAACCCTTTGAACTACAAAATATGAGTGTAATTCTTTATAAATAACATTACATATATTTCAAATATTACAATAAACACAAAAAAAACATAGGAGCTTTTGGAGTTTTAAAACAAATTATTTTTTTGAAATTATGTAATTCAGGTTCTATTAGGTCCAGCTCTCTGCAATTTTCTTTGTTTGATGTCACTAGATGCCAATTGATTATTGATTGAATTATGTTTCCTTTTTATGTTTTTCTAAGTAGTAATATACAAAATGGCACAAGCGAATTGGACCAAATTTCACATATTGTGTATTCTACAATCAGTTTAATTCTTTCAGGATGCACAAGACTGTCTACATTATAAAATATATCTGGTCTATCACAAACTAAAATAGAATTCATATCCTCCAGCTTTATATAATTCCATTTACGTGCATTCTGTATTGGGATACTGATTCACAGCATCCTCTCACCTCATCAGTTGACTCACTCCTGTATCCAGCCCCTCTCCATGACAACAAGCTTGCATCATCCCTGGACCAGAGCAGAGCTCATTTGCTAGCCGGCAACTATCTATACCATTCAAAGTGTCAAACAAACACATATCAGTTCATCCACACAGCACAGTAATAATCCATGTATATTTACTGTATATTCACTGAAATGCATAATGTACTGTACTTTTCTGTCAATAAACAGTGTATCAGATTGCTAGCTGTGCTTTTACGTTTCGAAACAACGATTCAAATATTAAAAAACGGCTTAAAAACATGCTCATAAAGCCTTACCAGACGCGTGCTCATTCCTCTCCACGGCGCCGCTGAACGTTCTTCACCATATATAACTTGTAATATGATTATCATAGACTGATATTATCTGAGCCGCGTGTACTGTATCCTTTCCGTGAGGGAAACTCGCCTTCAAATCATCGAGTTCAAAAAACTACAGCCCCCAAAACACCCAGCCCCCTCTCCCCCCTCTAGTAGAGGTGTCAAATTTCACGGCTCTGAAATGGCCGCCAAGTTGAAAGACATGTAATCTGACCAATTGCAGTCCACAAGCGACCACAGATCTCTATAACATCAGACGTGCTGGCTGAGAGCGCTTTTGATATGGAGAGCGCGTTTCCCCCAGACGAGCGTCTATTGCACAATCTGGACAAAATGCTATATATCTCACCGATGGAAGCACGCAGAAACGTGAAAATGGTCTTGTTTGAAAGAAGGGATCCTAATCTAAACGATAATATAGAGTATATAGATATGTGTGGCTGTTTGCGGCTGACTGAAGCAGTGCTACGAGTATAAATGTAAATTCGCTCAGAGGTGACAATTTTACATCGCAATTCTATCGAAGATCATTCGATCTGTGATTGTCACAAAATGAAATTATCTACATCGTCAAATTCCTGAGAATGAGAGCTTTCTTGTGATATATGACTTGACTTTTTTGTGAAAAATATATAAAATACACATTCTTCATAAAAATTATTCGCAATGATTAGGCATAAATTCGTGTGTGGGATGAATACATTTCTAAGCTTAATTTTACTGCTTTATGAATATAAAAACCAAAAGGAATGGTATTCTTTGTAAAGAAGACACTCCAATCTTTCAAATGAACCCATATATGGGCTGATACCATATAAGGAAGGCTATGTAAATGAAGCATAAACATTTTTAAAGCGATTTTGGACCCGTATCCGGGTCTTAACTGGTAATAACCCATTCATAAATACAGCATTTTGCTTCGTTACTGAATGAATGAATGTCGCGACGCCTGGCTTATTAAGACAGCGACTTGCCGCCACCTATTGGTGGTTTTATTTTTAAATCTACACGTATCACTTCGATTTGCCATCATTTATTGCTTTATTTATTATATTAATAATACACTTAATGGAATGTTAAGAATATGACATAAAACATGACATTCAATTAATAAGGATAGACAATATTTGTCTCTACAAAGGAACAAAAAAAGCACCTGTAAATCAATTTAAGGGGGCAAATATTGTCCTTTAATAGAAACGGTGTGACTGCGGTCTAAGTAGAAGAGAGGGGGTACGCAGAAGAATGTTAAATGCCCCAGGGGGTACGCCGCTGTAAAAAGTTTGAGAACCACTGCTCTAAGGAGGTTATTCAAGCAGTCAGTCCTGTTGTTCCCGGCTGGTCATCCGCTTCAGGGCACCATAGTTACTGCTCAAAGTACACCCAAGGTCAGTCTCGAGAGACTGATTCTCTTAGTAGACTATCTCGCAGCTGGGAGACTTCTGCCAGGTGTGTCTCAATGGGTCCTGCAGACTATAGAGAAAGGCTACAGAATCCAATTCGGTTCTTGTCCGCCTCGGTTCAACGGGGTTGTCCACACATTAGTGGGCCCCGAGCAGGCTCTGGTAATGGAACAAGAAGGAGACACTCTCTTGAGGAAGGAGGCCATAAAACATGTTCCTCCTCTCTCGAGAGAGTCTGGGTTCTACAGCCGATACTTCCTTGTTCCAAAGAAGGAAGGGGGTTTTCATTCCATTTTAGGTCTTTGTCAGCAGAACCGCTCAGTCATGAGACTCAGGTTCAAGATGCTGACACTCAAACAAATGGCTCAGGACCAAGGAGTTTTCCCCGAGGGGCAACCCGCTTCGCATGATCAAGGTCACACGGCGATGCTTACATGCCTTAGATATGTGGAGAAAGCCTTGGTTCCTTTCACAAGGCCCAGTGCTGAGGGCTCCTTGTTGTCACGTAATGCTAATGCTGGATGCCTCCCTCACGGGCTGGGGAGTGGTCATGAGTGGCCGCTCTGTCCGGAGTAAATTGCCTGGAGATGCTGGCTGTGTTTCAGACACTGAAACACTTTCTTAAAAACCTAAGAGGCCATCATGTGCTTGTTCACACAGACAACACATCAATGGTCTTATATCAACCACCAGAGGGGTATGCGTTCACGCCCCCTGTACGGACTGGTGCGCCAGATCCATCTGTGGGCTCAGGGAAAACTCCTCTCCTTGAGAACGGTTTACATTCCTGGGCACATCAATCAGGGAGCAGACATCCTGTCGAGACAAGGGCCGAGGCCCGGGGAATGGAGGCTCCCCCCGAGGTGGTGGGGCAGATCAGGAGGGTGTTCGGCCAGGCACAGGTGGACTTGTTTGCATCTTGAGAGACCTCACATTGTCCCCTCTGGTTCTCCCTCACACATCCAGCTCCTCCTTGATCGGACTGGATGCTATGGTACAGACGTGGCCGAGGCTGCATTTGCATGCTTTTCCACCAATTGCTCTGCTCCCGGGAGTTATGGAGAGAGTGCGCCAAGATGGGGTTCATCTGCTGCTAGTAGCCCTGCTCTGGCCGGGCCGAGTATGGTTCTCGCACCTGGTGGCCCTTCTCGATGGCTCTCCCTGGGAGATTCCCGTCAGTAGGGACCTCCTCTCTCAGGCAATGGCTCCACCTTTCACTCCTGCCCGGAGTTGTGCAAACTCTGGGTGTGGCCCCTGAAGGGGCACAGCTCATAGTGTCCGGTCTCTCAACTGAGGTTGTTGAGACCATACTCCAATCTAGAGCTCCCTCCATGTGGAAATCGTACACCTCGAAGTGGGATTTTTTCACTTCTTGGTGCGGCAACCATCAGCTGGACCCGGTTAACTGCCTGGTTGGTTCAGTGCTGGAGTTTCTGCAGGAATGGTTTTCCACAGGGTTATCCCTTTCCACACCCTCTGGGTGGTCAGTCGTTGGAAAGAGACCTGCTTGTTATGCATTTCCTCCGTGGCACCCTGAGGCTGAGGCCTCCGGCACGCACTAAGGTCCCGTCCTGGGATTTGGCCATAGTTCTAGAAGCTCTCAGTAGGCCTCCCTTTGAACCATTGGTAGAAGTTCCAGAGAGATTCTTCACAGTTAAGACTGTGTTTCTTTTGGCCATCTCTTCCTTGAAGAGAGTTGGTGACTTTCAGGCCCTCTCTGTGGCCCCCTCCTTTCTGGAGTTTGCACCTGGTGTGGCTAAGGCATTCTTATATCCTAAGCCAGGGTATTTGCCTAAGGTGCCTACCGTAGTTCCACGGCCCATTGTGGTGCAGGCTTTTTGTCCTCCTCACTTTCGAGACTCAGAACATGAGAAGTGTAACCTGATCTGTCCGGTCAGAGTGCTGGACACCTATGACCACAGAGCTGCCCTGTGGAGAAGGTCCGATCAGTTGTTTGTCTGCTATGGTCCACTCAGACCACTTTTGTCTGCTATGGTCAGCAGACCTTAAGCCAGTGGATTGTGGATGCAGTTTCTTTGTCCTACGAGTCCTCTGACCTCCCCTCACCTTTGAGGGTCTGAGCACACTCGACTAGATTGCCCATTCTCTCTGGAGTGTCGATTCACAGCATCTGTAGCGCTGCGGGCTGGTCCACCCCGCTTACTTTTGTCAGATTTTACAATCTTGAATTGGGAGTAACCCCTGGCTCCTCTGTACTCTCTTCCTAGCTGTGCTCTTCCACACTAGGCAGGGATTTGTAAGCATGGCGGACTGGGTATTGTCGTTCCCATAGCGTTCGATGCAGCCTGAGTTACCGAAGGGGAATGTCCCTAGGTTACGTATGTAACCATATTTCCCTGAGGGAACGAGATGCTGCATCTCGTTGCCATACTTCCTGGATCCTTGTGAGCGCTTCCTGTTTGAATGAGAAGCTGCCGCTGCATCCACTGCACATGCTTTTACACTTACCCAGTCTCTACATCATCCCGCCTGTGATGTCTCACTATTCCATTGAACTGATTGCACACATGCTTCAGAGCGTGGTCATGCAGAAGCTTTCCCAAAGCGTTCGCCGCAGCGTCTCTTTCCCTCAGGGAACTATGGTTACATACGTAACCTAGGGACGTTCAACAAAACATACATTTACTAATGTTTGTACAGACACTAAAACGTACAATACTCACAAATTTACGGCATCTAAATGTACAATACTGACGTATTGATGACACCTAAAACGTAAACTATTTACAATTGAACAACTTTACAGACTTACAAATGAATCCCTATGAATGTTGAAATTGGGGCATTAAAATGTTATTTTATTGTATTCAGTTGTCATATCAATGGCAAAATGTTATCAACTGCATTTATTAAATGAAGTTTACTCATTTACTTAAAGGATTAGTTCACTTCCAGAATAAAAATGTCCTGATAATTTACTCACCCCCATGTCATCCAAGATGTTCATGTCTTTCTGATTTCAGTCACAAAGAACTTAAGGTTTTTGAGGAAAACATTCCAGTATTTTTCTCCATATAATGGACTTAAATGGTTGCCAATGGGTTGAAGGTCCAAATTGCTGTTTCAGTGCAGCTTCAAAGGGCTCCACAATCCCAGCTGAGGAACAGGGGATCTAGTACAACGATTGGTCATTTTCTAAAAAACAACTACATTTATATACTTTAACCACAAATGCCCTCAAAATATAATTATAAAAGAGGAAAATGTTCTTATAAAGTATAAAAATGTGCTTAACCCTCTGGGCCTCTTCGGTAATTTTTGACTGAAATATTTTATGTTTTGAAATTTTAACAAAGACACTTGATGATTTTTGTTACATTAGCTATGTGAACACACACAAAAATCATGGACATGATTCGGATATGTCAGAGGGTCAAAAAAAAAGTCACACTTTGCTCCTTCGCGGTCAAAAATTACCGACATAGGAAATGAATGGGAAATACAAAACAATTGTAATTGTATAAAAAAACTCAACAAATCTTTTGGTGGTACAAACTACAAATCAGCCACTGTGCAGAAAAAAAGTGTGCAGCAATCAAGGGGTGAAACTCCAATATATAATATATATATATAAATAAATATATATATAAATAAATATATAATAAATAAATAAATATAATATATAGATTCTACCCTAAAATTTTGTCTGATTTAATATTGGATTCATATGTGATTTCCTTTCATATGTGTTCCCTGCAAATCTATGTTATCTATAGCTCTTTACTTTCTGAGATCACAATATTAACAGTGATGGCTTATGATAGATACGTAGCCATATGCAAACCTTTAGACTATCATTCCAAATTAACTAAAAACACCTGTGTGAAATTAATTCTGTTCTCATGGATTGTTCCCAACTGCATTTGCATTACAGCAGTCCTGTTATCAAACTTAAGACCTATTTGTAAATATCACATTGACAAATTATATTGTGACAACTGGTCAGTTGTAAAGTTGGCCTGTGTATCATCTTTTGTTAATAATGTCTTTGGATATGCTATTTCTGTTATATTTTTTAGCTTTATAGTTCTTATCATAGTTTCCTACTTTAAACTGATCTCTGCATGTAAAGCATCTTTAGAAAACAGAAAGAAATTCTGCCAAACATGTCTCCCACACATATTATCACTGATAAATTTCACTATTGCTTTGCTTTTTGATATCATGTATAGCAGATATGGTGCAAATGACATTCCAGAGAGTTTGCGAAATTTTTTGGCTCTAGAACTGGTGATAGTTCCGCCTGTGTTCAATCCTCTAATCTATGGGTTAAATATTACAGTAGTGCGCACAAGAGTTTTTACTTTATGTGTATCATGTGCATCAAGAATTTTTTTCACAGAAAATCCACAACTTAATTCAGTTCTAAGCCTCATACATGCAAAAAAAAATTCAGAAAGAGTGTGTTCTTAACAAGCATTTCTGGTGTGGTGTGATTTATGCACGAACTGTGAAATAAATTATATATATATATTAGTATATCTGTTGTGAATCTAGTGAACACCCAGCCTAAGCATGTTGTATTTCATCCAGTACTTCAAGTTGTATGATTGCCATATTGGAACACTGTACATCTAAATTACTATAACATTTAATAGAGTATTTTAGAATTACTATCTTATATAAAAATGTAGTTTTATTAGAAATAAACTCTTTACTAAAAACTCTAACAGCCTTTGTATCAGCCTACATCTTTACATGAGGTCTCTACAGATAGTATTTCTTCACAGAATTCTGTAGTAAATGAATGAATGAATCTTTTAACCAGTAAATTTATTAGTGAAGTGACGTGTGGCCATCATTATCATTATTGTCATCATCAACATCATCTTGGAAAAACAGAATTGAATCAAAGACAGTCACTTCAAATTCAAATTAAATTTCAAATTACATTTAGCATTCTGACGTCATTGTAACTCAATGTTTCTGAAACATATGAAAAAAAATGCTGAAAGTATTAGGTTTTGTGTTCTCATACTGACCTTGAAAGACCCTGAAATTGTTTAGAGACTTAGAGAATGTTGTTAAAGGGAAAATTCTGTCATCGTTTACTCACCTAATTTCATTACAAACATGAGTTTTTTTCCTGCAGAACACAAAAGAAGATATTTTGAAGAATGTTGGTAACCAAATAGCTTCAGTTCCTATTGATGTCCACTGTATTTTTTGTCCATGCAGTAAGGTTAATGTGAACCGAAACTGTTTGGTTACCAACATTCTTCAAACTATATCATCTTTTATGTACCACTGAAAAGAAAATAAATAAAAAAATTGCAATGACTTGAGGGGGGGGAAATGATGACAGAATTTTTATTTTTGGGTAGACTCTGCCTTCAAGCAACCCAAAAGTAAAGCGCTTATGAATTTCACTGTAGGACTCTTGTCTCAAAAACCGTTGATTAATCAAAATATGATAGGTGTTTTGGAAAAAATATTCCGGCCAACCGTCTGCACAAGTAGTAACGCAGAAGCACAGAGGACCGTCACAGTGACCTGTTGTTTATATCAAGCGAACACATATATGACAGTTAGCCAGAAGCAGTGGTTTATAGTTTATCATTTTTCTTACAGAATTTTCATTTTTGAGTGGAGTATCTCTTTAATTACTTAAAATAATAATAATAAAAAAATAATAAAAACCTTGTTGTTGTTTTAAAGTCCCATTTGTGCGTGTCCATATATTTGCAGTGAATAGTGACCAGCATTAATCCTTAAAAAAAAGGCACAAAAACCTAGGTCCTCATCCTGCTGCTGGTGACCTGCTTCAGTACACCAGGCTTGTGATTTTTCATGTGATCCTGAAGACCCTGATTGGTTGGTTCAGGTGTGTTTGATTAGATAAATTCTGCAGCACAGTGGGTCCCCAGAAGCAGAGTTGAAGATCTATGTGCAAAAATATCACAGAATGATCCAACACCTGTCATATAATACAGATATTCGGGGGTATACAATAGGGTTTGTTGAAAAACAAACTGAAATAAATGTATTTAACGAAAACACCTGAGCTTGGCCTTTGATTTTTTTATTTATTTTTTTTGCGCACGACTGTGCAAGGCATCCAATATGGATATCATAACTTTTGAACAATGATGAGTAATAATGGGGGCACTATTCACTTTATTTTGCAATACAGAAGTAAGGTATTTCCTCTAAATATGTGAGACTTTTGATTCACTAACCGCTTACAGGTAATAAACTTAAAAAATTACAAAGTGCAGTAAACAGTAAAACTATTTGCACTACAAATTAATATTTAAAATTACTACAATACATTAAAATAATATGATAACAAATAACAGTTTTCAGTATCAAGAAGCATGGCAAGCTGTTTCGTATAGCTAAAAAGAACTATAAGTGAATGACAGAAACCTTGCACATTCAAGTTACAATATTAGGTTTTGTGTTCTCATACTGACCTTGAAAGACCCTGAAATTGTTTAGAGACTTAGAGAATGTTGTTAAAGGGAAAATTCTGTCATCGTTTACTCACCTAATTTCATTACAAACATGAGTTTTTTTCCTGCAGAACACAAAAGAAGATATTTTGAAGAATGTTGGTAACCAAATAGCTTCAGTTCCTATTGATGTCCACTGTATTTTTTGTCCATGCAGTAAGGTTAATGTGAACCGAAACTGTTTGGTTACCAACATTCTTCAAACTATATCATCTTTTATGTACCACTGAAAAGAAAATAAATAAAAAAATTGCAATGACTTGAGGGGGGGGAAATGATGACAGAATTTTTATTTTTGGGTAGACTCTGCCTTCAAGCAACCCAAAAGTAAAGCGCTTATGAATTTCACTGTAGGACTCTTGTCTCAAAAACCGTTGATTAATCAAAATATGATAGGTGTTTTGGAAAAAATATTCCGGCCAACCGTCTGCACAAGTAGTAACGCAGAAGCACAGAGGACCGTCACAGTGACCTGTTGTTTATATCAAGCGAACACATATATGACAGTTAGCCAGAAGCAGTGGTTTATAGTTTATCATTTTTCTTACAGAATTTTCATTTTTGAGTGGAGTATCTCTTTAATTACTTAAAATAATAATAATAAAAAAATAATAAAAACCTTGTTGTTGTTTTAAAGTCCCATTTGTGCGTGTCCATATATTTGCAGTGAATAGTGACCAGCATTAATCCTTAAAAAAAAGGCACAAAAACCTAGGTCCTCATCCTGCTGCTGGTGACCTGCTTCAGTACACCAGGCTTGTGATTTTTCATGTGATCCTGAAGACCCTGATTGGTTGGTTCAGGTGTGTTTGATTAGATAAATTCTGCAGCACAGTGGGTCCCCAGAAGCAGAGTTGAAGATCTATGTGCAAAAATATCACAGAATGATCCAACACCTGTCATATAATACAGATATTCGGGGGTATACAATAGGGTTTGTTGAAAAACAAACTGAAATAAATGTATTTAACGAAAACACCTGAGCTTGGCCTTTGATTTTTTTATTTATTTTTTTTGCGCATGACTGTGCAAGGCATCCAATATGGATATCATAACTTTTGAACAATGATGAATATCAAAAATCGAAGGAGTAGTAGTAATAATGGGGGCACTATTCACTTTATTTTGCAATACAGAAGTAAGGTATTTCCTCTAAATATGTGAGACTTTTGATTCACTAACCGCTTACAGGTAATAAACTTAAAAAATTACAAAGTGCAGTAAACAGTAAAACTATTTGCACTACAAATTAATATTTAAAATTACTACAATACATTAAAATAATATGATAACAAATAACAGTTTTCAGTATCAAGAAGCATGGCAAGCTGTTTCGTATAGCTAAAAAGAACTATAAGTGAATGACAGAAACCTTGCACATTCAAGTTACAAATGCCTGTGCCCACTGTTACAATAAAACTACTGTGGATATAGTTGGTCCTAGAGACCCCAAAATTGGTCAGATTACTACTGAAGACCACCTCAATAAATGTGCCAAATTTGATCATTTTCCTATGTATGGCTCATAGGGCTGCCATAGACTTCCATTTATATAAAATAAAGATAATCAACAGATTATAATAATCAACAGAAACAATAATATAATTAAAATAAAAACCTACTATTAATAAAATAAAATACTGAAATATGGTAAGTGTTAAAAAATCATCACACTGTATTAAAGGTCCCATTTTGTCAAAACTGAAATTTCCTGGCTTTTTTCAGGATAACTGAGGTCTAGGGGCTATTTAACTACCATATAAGTTTCAAAACAGTCAGTCCACAGTCAAATGCACACAGCCTGCATAAAGTAGCAGTGATTTTTCACGAACCGTTGTGACTTCCGTAAAAAGTTGACAACAGAACTATACAGTCACCGCCTTCAGTCACCACCCCAAGCACCGCCCACCATCCCACTCTCCTTTTGCCAAACCCCCAGACAACATCGCGTCCATGGCATTGCTGAGCAGCAACAACACGGAAACATGTCAAAAAGGTTAACTTTAACCACGAAACCAGATCGGCCGACCTGTAACTTTACACTCTCACTCAAAGGATGGACGATCTGACAGGATTGTTACTATGACCTCGTCTAGGATCACATCTAATGTGTATAGTAAAGACAAACTCACCGTGTCTATCTAGTCATGATGAAGATGTATATACATTTCAATTTCAGCAGGCAACTATTTTTACAGCTACATTATTTTTCCAGTCACAATTAATCACAACAATGTATACAATTACAAATGATTATATATAAATTGTCAGTTTGTTGTTTTACACACATGCACAAAGACATTATTTCATGCAGGACAAAGTCGTTACTCGTGAGATGCAAGAAACATAGACATATGGCAAGAAATCTGTAGACGCACACATAACAACAAAAGACAATACTTTATTGAACCTTTTCTGATAAAAAGTGTGCGCTGCAAACGCGAGCATTTTTGATGATCGTTTCTGTCCAGTCTGCTCGTTTTATTGCGTTTAACCACAGCTGTCGTCATTTTTTTTGTCTGGCAGTGGCAGCAGATATGCGATTATTACGTCGATTCTGGCACCCAATATCACATCAAGATGATATTTTAAGCTCCTTATGCAGCCGAATCTGCACTTGTTTGAATGGGCCGCCTCCAGCTTCCCCTTTGTTTTGCTGCCTCCAGCTAGCGATGTGACGTCGGCTGACCCTAGTTACCCATGGTTGGCCTGGCTGTGCGTCACTCAGAAAACAACAGGCCAATCAGAAGAGAGGCTCATGATTATTAATTAGACAGGCCAAAATCGACCTGTTCTCAGCAGAGCTCCCGAGAGAGGAGCTGTAAAAATATATTGAGATGGTTTTTGGTACTTATACCGCAAATATATATTCTCAAGGACATCAAAACCTAAAATAAAACTCCAGAAAGGTGTAAAATATGTGACCTTTAAAGATATTTAATTTATATCTAAAAATATTCATTCTGCATTTATTTACTTAGCAGGTGCTTTTCTTTTAAGACAATAATAATGAAGTGACATCACCTTAGTTGTCAAACCTGATTATCAAAGGGGTTAATAAACCTACCCCCATCCTCAGACCTTATTTTATATAAACTGATGATTAGTGATGATGATTACTAATGATGAACTGAGCATTAGGAAATCTCCCTCAGAGCACAGAACGGAAGGATTTCCGGAACACCTCAACATTTTTAACATTCTCTTTTAGTTTTTCAGGTACAAACACAATTCTTTTGGAGAACTTTTTTTTTATTTTTCCATCAAAGGATTTTCTATGCTGCACAAAGTGTTTGACTAAATACGCTCACCATAATGTGTGTATACAAAAAGAAAATGCATTTGAGAAAGTGTGATATAAGAATTGATTATGATTGTACTTTTCCTAAGATG